ACGTCCCTCGATCTGCTGGCAATGCCCCTACTTATACAGCCCAAAATGCCGTTAGCCTTCTTGGCAACAAGGGCACACTGTTGACTCATATCCAGCTTCTCGTCCACTGTAACCCCTAGGTCCTTTTCTTGTAATCCCACTATCAATTCCATCTTTATAGGTTTGGGAATATGTATTCTTGATCTGCTAAATTGTTTGGATTTATCTTGAATAGATGATCACATGTGGAGAGATGAGATGGAGCTAATCTGTGTATTTCTTGTTGTTTCTGCTTTTCCCTTAATCCCGTTGATGTTGAAGATTTGTTTACATCCAGTCAAGGGCAGATGGGGCAGTTAGCATTAATGGGAACAGAAAAGCAGATTGGGAGTTTTTCATGGAAATCTCCCCATCCGCCACACCCAGATTTTTGGCATGGTAGCCTTCTCCTCACAGTTGCATATTTTTATATGGTAACTATTAGAACTGCTATACCTCTTCTCTCACTTGGATAATATTTGGTGGGGGACACAGATTATATGTTTTTGGCACAAAGGATGTATTCTGAGAAGGGATGATTAAACTGATTAATAGTGGGATGAAGTGCTGAGAGCGTTCGATGTCCAAGCAGTCTGTAAACTAACCTTGAGGGTTGTTGAATGGAATTCTGAATGCTATACTAACATGATTAAATGGACTCCCAATTGTTACTCAGTAAATAATATGTCTTAAGTTATTTAAACCAACATAGCAATAGTGGCTGTACACTCAAGACAGCTTGCCAGTTACCTTTACTCTTCCATTTTGCTTAGTATACTAAAAGACACAACTTATTTATTCTCTCTTTAGGGGCGGTTGGCCCTGGCAGGTTGCCCTCCGACTGAAATCATCTCATGGTGATGGAAGACTCTTATGTGGCGCCACACTCGTCAGCAGCTGCTGGGTGCTCACTGCAGCACACTGTTTTAAGAGGTAGTACTGTATGATTAACAATGGGATACATTTCCAGTACCACTGCATTGCTACCTTTGTGAGGCCAGTGGGAATGATACAGAGGCAAAACCCCACTCTTGCCACCAGTATACTGAAAATTGTTCCCAAAGAGACTAAGACGTCTGTTTAAAAAAAAAAAAGTTGTGCATTAACTCATATGTTAAAACCATTCTTACTACCACATTCTAGCATTACACAGATTGCATTCATCACTCAACAAATTTATGTTCAGAATTTCACCATTTCCAGAGAAAACCTTTATAGAGAAAGCTTCAGACTTCCTTAGCATAATCACCTAAGGGACCTGGCCCGTCAGAAGATCACAGTGTACAGGTATCTGTTAACTTTTCAAGTTGAAGTGAGAACAACCAAGCAAACAAGTACATAGATCCTGTGTTGTATTTTGATGTTCTGTTTGGTAAGGCACAATCAGCTATGAAACTTAAGTGACAGTTTTCCTGTAATATTTTACAGATTAGTTGAGCTGACCTGTAAGACCCTCTCTTTGATCAAAACATTCTTCTTATTTTGTTGAATCTAAGGGAAAAGTAAATTTGCACCTTGCCCTTGTCTGATTAGAAAAACTAATTAGTTTTTCTTATTCCTTCAGCCAGGCTGACAACAACTTCCTTACTCTGTGGTTTCTTAGTGTACAAGAATCAAGTATTTTGTAGCCATCTTAAGGATTCCCCCAGCACACTCAGGGAAGCTTTAAAACATCTTCAGCCAAATACAGGAGTGAGTCTAAGAGGCTCTAAGCTGCTGTAACTTGCACCTTCTTCCGGTCATTCAGCCTACTGTACAGTAAGTTACACCACCTTCAGCTCCCTTCCACCCACTTACCACTTGATGTGTAACTAAAGCTCCCTTACAAATCATCTCTGAATTGGCCTGTTCTATTTCACCACCTCCATTAAACTGTCATCTAACTTTTCTATATTTATTCTCCCATTTTTGCTTTTTGTATACATTTTTTCTTTTTTATGATCTTCCTGCTCAGTTTCTTTTGTGACAGCCCAATCCAGTATTTGTAACATCACAGTTCACTGCCACTGAAGTTACAGCAATGTCACAAGTACTGATTTAAATAGCAAGGAGGTGGATATAATAAACAGCTGTGGAGAAAGCTTCATATTGAGACCAACATGTTTCAGCAATGACTGGGAAAGAAATATAGAATAACTTCAAAATAATTATAAGGAAATTGGCTAAAATTTGCCTAAGTGTGCTGGGAGCAATTTAACTTCAACCTTTGGCCCCTTCTCTTTCCTCACTTCCCACTAGAAAAGAGGCAGGAGATTGCTTTCATTAAAATGAATGGAAATTGGTACCTTTTTTTAGAGGCAGCTGCTCAACATCTTTTCATTTTCATGTTTCCAACAGTCATGTGGGACTCTTCCTGGTAACTGTTCAAGCCTTAATGGCCAGACTTCGTTCATTAAATCGCAGACTCTTTCCACTGAGATTCAAGCTGTTTTTGTTGTAGAAAATGAAAGTGCAAAGTCTTGGGTTTCTGTCATTAAAACGACTATAAGCTGGCCTCTTCATGCCTGTTCATGAGTCCCACGGTAATAACTAAGGTTGAAGGTTAGCAGAGCATTTTAAAAGACTTTTGATGGAACATTTTATTTAAGGCTTGAAAACAAAGCACTCTCTCTCCTCTCCTGTTATTGAAATCTTGTCTAATAGTAATTTGTATATTTCACATTTTGGACATATGGGGGCAGATTCTTCATCCCATCAGCACTCCCCTAAGGCACAGCAGAGACGGGGGAAGACAGGAGCAAGCCAATTGTGGCTCCCTGATCCTCAGCCACTGGCCAGGAAGCAGCTCTAGCTTACATCTGTGGAAAACTAGGTGATGCTCTGCCCCCTCCTTTAACTTTCCAGTTTGCACACGTCTTGTCCCTGGAATGCCGTTCACATTTTGCTGGGGTTAGGGGGCGCAAAAAGTGGCAGATGATCTTTCTGCCAGCAGAGAGTTCCTGTGCCCAGGACGAATTCTCCAATGACTATCTTTGGCTTAAGATAAAAAAATCTAGCCTCATGATGTCCCCCCCCAGTCTCTTTATAGAAAAATAGGTATTTTCCCTATTATATCCTTCTGTTCACATGTGGCAACTGAATTGGAGCATCTCATCTTGGGTTGAGTCTGAGCAGACACCTTCATCGTGAACTGCTCATTAATATGCAGCTGAGCAACTATGCACATAAACCTACATACAAACCTTCTGTGAGGACTGAAACAACTCTATGGCCCAAATTAATCTCTGGTATAATTTCATTGATTTGAATGGTTGCACTGGGTATTGATTTTGCCTTCTGTGTCCGAAATTTCCATTTATACAGTGCTTACTCTCGCTAAAGCCTATCTGGGAAAGCAAGAACGCAGAACCTTACAGTGAGAATGATAGAATGAAGGCACATGTAGTAGTTATCAATCCATTTAGTGTGGAGAATGTATTAGCCTCATATTGAGTGGCCAGGTAAGGAAGAATTTTTAAACCAGTAGTGCTGTTTTAGAACTATCTTTTTGAAGTCTCATTGTGACAAACACCCCTTCTCCTAGGACAGCTTTTGCAGCTAGCACACTGACTTGGAGGTTGCAGAAGTGTAATTAAGATTGCACTGGTGTGATTTGGGCCAGGATATCCCACATTCTTAGTATATTTCATGTAGAAAGGACAGAAACTAACCATATCAATCAAAACAAAACATTTTAATTGGGATGATTAAATATTTCTTTTACTGTAGCATGCAGAGGCCTCAGTCAGGAAATGTCTTATTATGTTGGGTGCTGAACAAAAAGCATAAAGACAATCCCTGCACGAGGAGTTTACAATCTAAATAAAGACAAGACATAACAGGTGAGTGGGAGAGGGAAGTTAAGAGTAATAGTAACATGGTATGTAGACTAACTATGTGCAGAATTTGTAGGTTCCCTTTTCCTTGAATCAATATGAGATAGCTAATAACTCTTAACGTTACAATCTATCTTTAACCATTGATTAATTAAAAAGTATTTTATAAATAACTTCCAACTGCATTTTACACATCTTATCCAGAATTATTACTAAACAGATCTCCAAGGCAGCAATTTATCTTAGGCATTGAGATAAACACATTAAGGAACCCATATTAAGTGCACAGTTAGGGAGTAAAGTGTGCAGTTGTTGGAAAGAAAGAATTATTTCAAAAGTTCCGCTGAAGCACCTAGTGCAATGGAAGGTACTTTGTCTTCTGCTCGCACACTTTTGAGGAACTATACCCCTAATTTTGTCTTCTAGAGCTGGGACTACATTTGCATCTTGGTTAAGAGCTCTCTGCAAGTCCTCTTCACACATAGGACTTTCAGGATTGGATTCTTAATATCACCAAATAAATCAACTCTGTGCTGTCATACTGCACTGATTATATATAGACACTGACATAAGGAGGGATATAATAGAGGTCTATAAAATCATGAGTGGTGTGGAGGAAGTGAATAACGAAGTGTTATTTACTTCTTCACATAACACAAGAACCAGTGGTCACCCAATTAAATCAGCAGGCAGCAGGTTTAAAACAAACATGCAATGCACAGTCAACCTGTGGAACTCATTGCCAGGAGATGTTGTGAAGGCCAAAACTATAACTGGGTTCAAAAAAGAACTAGTTAAGTTCATGGAGGATAGGTCCATCAATGACTATTAGCCAAGAGGGTGAGGGATGCAACTCCATGATCTGGGTGGCCCTAGTCTCTGACTGCCAGAAGATGGGAGTGGACAATGGGATGGATCACTTGATGATTGCCTGTTCTGTTCAAATCCTCTGAACATATGGCTACTTGGCATTGGCTACTGTTGGAATACAGGATACTGGGCTAGATGGACCATTGGTCTGACCCAGCATGGTTGTTCTTGTGGCACGCTCTCCAGAGTACCTATCACCGAATGCACTTAACTGTAGTTGTGCACTGACTTAATTGTGCCTCAAAGTTGTTACTGAATACATTATGAATACTTGTATGCTTATTGCATATTTTACTGAGCAAATGCAAGCAGGTTTTGGGGCCAAACCCTCAGTCCCTGATTCATAAAGCCTCAGTCTTTATAGTAAAAGGGGGATAATAAAGCTGCCTTAAAAGGGCATAAGGGAAATCCCTGCCTGATGTAGTCAGAATAGCCACACCTATATCACTCACTATTTCCCTCCTACAGCAGAGTGGACATGTTGGAGAATGCTAGGGGACAGGAGAGTGTATGGCCAGAATAGCCTGTGCTCTGGCAATCCCTGTTCAGCATAGCTGCCTCTTGGGGGCTGTTAAAAGCAGTTAGAATAGTCCTGTGGCTGCTCTCAATTCGTGCCAGGGGCCACACAGGATTGTGTGAGTGCCAGGTGATTTTAAGCCACCTTTGCCCCTCTCTCTGGGTCCTGTGCTAAGTGCAGTTCAGCCAAGCCTGGGAATCTGGGCCTTTTTGGGCAATATTCACAAATCTATCCCTAAATTTCTTTGTGCTGAATTATTTAATGCAAGTAGTCGAGTGTTTATCTGTTTAAATGTAGTGTCACTTATACCATAGAAAGTCCCCACCTCTCTGCAATGTACTACAAAGGAGAGATGTCTTTACCTCCTTATAAGATATACTGTTGCTAAACAAGGACCAGACTGTGGCCAGATGCTTCTTGTGCATGTAAGAGGTGGAATATCCAGCTGGTGGGAACAATTACAGCCTCTGGCCTCTTTGTATCTCAGGTGCTCCCTCATGCACCCTCTATGGCACAAACCACTACAGCAGAAGCAGGAGAGTAGGGGAGGAGACAGGACCATATACCACCCCCAATGCTCCCCAGTACACATGTTCACAAGCTGACCAGCACTCAAAGGGAATACATCAAATCCCTTTAAGAGATATAGCAATGGATTCACTCCCTGTGTGCCAGGATGTTCCAACACAGAGCAGTGCTTAACTAGCAGAAACAAATTCAATGCTTTTAATGAAAAGAAATAAGGATCTCCCAAGTGCTTTTTAAACACTGATGAAGTAAATTTCCCCATGTCCCTGGGAAGTTAATATTAATCTCATTTTACAGATGGGGATACTGAGGCACAGAGCAGCTCAATGCCCGGTGTCACACTGAAAGTTAATGGAAAAGTTGAGAATAGAACCAGGTCTTCCTCTACCTATTAGACAACTCTGTTTCTTTTTTGTATTGGCCCTTGTGCAATGTTTAAATTTGGTAAAATGCATAATTACATTCAGAGTCATTAGAAAGAACAAAAGATCATTGTCAACAGATCAAAGTCAATGCTGAGCAGTCTATACAGGACTTGTGTGAATGCCTGTGCACTGGAGTAGGGTAAATCAGTATTCAGACAGCTCATTCAGCCCCGATCTAGCAGCATGGTAGCTAATTCACACTTCTGTGCATTTGTATGAGAAGATGCCTTTCTCACCCTGTTACATTTTATTGGAAATTACAGTTTGTTATTCAAATCAGCCTTCTTGAATCTCCTGTTTTTCACCATATTGCTAAAACTTAACAACATCCATAACACAAGAAGCAAGCAGTGCTCAAACTAAGGAGAATGCAGTTCCTCTTGTTATGTGAGGAAGACGACCTTCAATAGGCAGGGGAAAGAGGACAAAGAGATAAGCAAGTTTCTCTAGCTAAATGTGTACCAGTCGAGCCCCAACTGGCAGTATAGAGTCCAGTATCAGAGATCATAAACCACTTTCCTTCTTGCTGTAGTACTGGTTTAGCAATCAGAAGAAACTTATTTTTAAAAATATTTTTTAAAATGAGGTTCTTATTGTTAAAACTGTACTGAAGGAAGAAAGAAAGCAGTTTGATGTCGGACATTAGGTCTTACAGCTGGTATCAGATATTTAGCACTATTCTGACCTCCAGCAGATTTCAAAATGTTGAATTCAGTGACAAACATTAGGGCACAAACTCAAATTTGTGCACTATAATGCTGTGGACAAATCCATATGTACTGAAATGCAACTGTAACCTTTTAATTTAAAAAAATATTCAGATTATACAAGATAAGAGGTGTCTCTTGCCATTTGAATTTAGAAAGTTAAATTTCCATTACATCACTGAAAATACACCTGAAAAGTATATGGTTGCACTCATTTGTATGCACAAAACCCTTATTTGAATGTACAAAATGGGTGCATGGATGGACAAACACCTGTTTGTGTAAAAAATGAGCATTTCCCCAAACAATTACCAGTACTGCATGGGCAACTATTCAAGGGTTTCATTCAAGCAGACAAAAGTATACCTATGATTTGTATGCCTCTGACTGATACACTAGGCAAATGGCGGATATTACTTTTAATGCTAGTGACTCTGCATCTTTCTATCCTAATATCATAGGGACATTCAGACAAATACTAATCAAATCACTAATATAATGTTTTCTAACTTTTATCAAGGATTATCTGTGGCAGTATGTTGCTGTTTATAGGCTTCCATTGGGAATAGAGAGCTATTAATGGCAATGAGATCAGCAGTTAAAAATACAGGCAAAAATTATTGAACTATCTAGCATTGTGTAAGTGGCAAAGGGAAGAGCATCTTTTCCTAAATTGATTAGGCTCACGTATTGCGTTATTTGGTTTCCCGAGTGAGAGTCAACCAAATGTTTATATATAGTCAGAGAGTTATGAAATTTGAGCAGAGAAAACAAGTGAGAGGTCAAAAGAAAACAATGTATATTCCATTTTTGTAGGTTGTGGTTGCATTTAAGTGAACATATACTCATCTCTTATATTAGAGCACACTTAAAAGAGCCATTTACTGTTACAAAGGAGAAATTCTGTATCAGTTTCCTTTCTAGATTCTTAGTTTCTTCAGTGAAAATTTAAAAAGTTGGCCAATATGTTGGTAACATCAGCCAAACTGTTATCCTGTGAGTATGTAAACTCGCCCACTGGGAGAGGTGACACTGGAGGAAAAGTATTTGGCTGGCAACCTAATCCATTCCAGTGTCAGGACACTCTTTACATTCCAAGCATTACATCTGTTCTGTAAATAATCTCTGGAAGAGTGAAGGGAGACTGTGCTCAAACTGTGCAGCCTTAACCATTCAGCTACCTTGACCTTGTCCAGCTTGGTGAGCTACATAGGGATAACTGTGGAGTTATTTCTTTGTCAGCGTGTAAAAATGTTTCTGAACAGGTATGTTTATTGCTGTTATGATAATTTCACAGATGAGAAGTAAGAAAGATGAAATGGAGTTTGACTTTGGTAGTGTTCCAGTTGCAATGTACATCACTGTGGAGTGTTTTCCATCAACTTCAAGTGGGAACAAAATCAAAGCCTTATAAACAGAGTGTGAAAAGCCTCCCAAGAAGTCTCATTACGAGGGGGTGTCATATACTAGCACTCAGCCTCAAGCATTTTCTTCTAAAATGAACATGGCTCTGATTGACTTAAAGAGCCCTTGATCTGGTAATGTCACATCTCATAGCCTTTTACTGAGTTCACCCTGCAACTGATACAGAAATCCTTAAGTCACTCTCCAGAAGGTGCCAACGTTACTTCTGCAGCCTACTATCCTATGCTCCTTATAGTGATCAGGCAGCAAAGACTGCTCATGTGCTTACTGAATTACTTCTGCACCTTTGTGCAAAGATGGGCATACCATAATTAAACAAGGAAACAGATTCATTACATTGCTAAAATTTTCCATATTTACAGGCATACTAGTATTTTTCACTAATAAAGCACGTCTATATGAATATTTAGGAGCACTTTGAGCGCTATAGTTTCCAAGAAATATTGCTGAAAATATTTGCATACAACCCATGAAAATTTAACAGCTTAGTCCATCTTTGGAGCTCATTTAACATACTTGTATATAAACAACAGTTTCTAACAAGTTCCCCGGCAGCATTAGCAAACAAACAAACACATAACCACTCTCAGGTTCTAGAGCCACAGCAATAGCCAACATGTACCAAAAAGGATGTTTAAGTTTCTTATATAAGTCAAGAAGAATTGTGAAATAATATCAGAAAACAGACAGAACATGAAGCTATGTGAGGCAGGGACTCTGCTATTTAACACAACTAACCTATTGTAGCAGCATATATAAAAATTCAAACTATACTCTGTGATCTCAAAGTGCTTTATGAAAGAAAGTAAAACAGATGGAGAAAATAAGGCACAGAAATAGACTTGCCCAGGCTCACACAGGAGGGGCAATAGTGAGAACTCAGGTCTCCTGATTCTGAACCTAGTACCTTATCGCGTTCGTACACATGATACACATAATAGTTAACAGTTGCAGTAAAAGGGAAACACAGGAAGAGGTATCAGTGCTATCTGAGACCAGTGTAGAACTACACATCAGTGATATAATAAAATTGGAATATAAAGGTTTTTAAAAGACCAAATTAGGCCAACTGCTTTAAAACACAACAATTGTCACTCTAACTGCTTTTACTTAGTGTATAAGGCATTAAAATAAAGACCATAGTAACCCAGACATCTAAATCAGCACACCTGAGACTGACCATTAACTCACATGCTGTATGTAGTGACTCAGTGCAGTCAATAGACTTGCCCTGTTTAAAATGAAGTATGTGGTGATCCAGACATGGAAGAGTGGGATTCTTGGTGGGAGTCTCAGAGCAGGAAATGGTTAGCATTACTGACAGGCAGCAGATGTCGGGGATTTTGACAGCTCTGCTTTGATGCAGAATTTTGGACTTCGCCACTGATGTCATAGTTCAGATGATGTATCATGCTCCAGAAACCAGTTGCGGCCTGATGGACTTTGTTATTGTGGAAAATCTCCTTCAAAGCAATTCCAGAGTAAATAGGATATCTTAGGGCCCAATCCTGCTCCCACTGAAGTCAGTGGGAATTTTGTCGTTTATTTGAATCAGGCACAGAACAGAACCATAAGGTCAAATAGCAGCTTTTAATATAATACTGGAGAAACCATGAGGTGTTTAACAGTGAAGATTTAGAAACGTATTAAAATTTTCATTCTCTGGTGAGAGGTGCCTTAGAAATAAGATCAGCAAATACTCAAACAGGGTGGAGAGGACCAAAAGCCTCTGAATATACTAAAATAAGACATCAATAAAGGGAGCACTATTTTTTCCCTCCCTTTAGTTGAAGGGACACATTCCTATTGTTGCTGATGATCTTTGGCATTAGCATTAATGCTCAGAATTCTCCAACGACACACCCTAATGAAAGTGGATCCACTGATATGATATCAACAGATTGATGCTTTGTTGTCTAAACAGTAAGTTGGGTATTGCTAAAAAGATACCCCCAAGGTGTTTTGTTAAATACCTTTCAAATAAATCTAATAAATCCAAGCTGGAAAAAAAATGAGGGAAAAAATTTTCATTAGTTTATTTTTCAGGGATGAGATTATTAAAGTTTCATGAATAGTATGTTCTGATCATGCAGACTCACAGGTTAGTTTTTCTGAGTGTTTTAAGAAAGACCCATGTAAATACAAGATCAGTTTTTACATCTCTATAATCTTCAGCTATTATGGGCCAACTGAAATTTTTTGTATTGTAATTTCCAGCCACAAAGGAAGTACAGTGTAGTGGATAAGAGTATTACAAAGAAAGAACAATATTAGTATTTTTAAGGAGGCTTTCTGTTAAAGACGTGTTCAACAGTCATTACTTCATTTCTCCAGTACCATAAAGCAACCTCCACATAAAATGTAGAAAATACCTCAAATGATATTTAAAATTGTTGCAATTTTAAATAATTTTTCCTGCTTAGAGCAAAATGTAATAAATAAATATATTGGGCTATATACTGCGGGACTTGCAAAGTTTTTACTCAGGTTAAATTCCCATTGATTTCCACAAGCAATACAAGCTTTTCTTGAGTAAGAACTGAATGAGGCCTGTAGAATTTGACCCTATAACATGTCATTTTATAGGGAAAGGCCAGGAAAGCAGCCTGAATTTAGAATTAGAACTGGTCAGGAAATTTGTTATTAAATTATTTTTTCATCAGAAAATGCTGATCCATTGCAACCTTTCCTGGGAATGTATCAGTTTTGACTAAACTTGTGTCAGGAAAGTTTCTCAGGTCCAGGATGGAATTTCTGCTCAAAACCAGAGAAAGAGATCCCAGAATAGCTGATGCCCTGGTAATTAGGTCACACATCTGGGATGTGGGAGACCTAAATTCAAGTCCCTGCTCTGCCGGATTCAGAGCAGGGACTTGACCCTAGGTTTCTCACATTCTAGCCGAGTCCCTTAACCACCAGCTATCTTGGGTAGATATTTCTCTCCATCAATCAAAATATTTTGAAAAGTCTGAAATATCCCACTGAAGAACTGGAAAATATTTGAAACTCAACATTTTTTGCAGGACAAGAAAATCTTTTCCTGCCCAGCTCTAATTATAACAGATACTCAGTTCTATGGCTATATGCTGCTCAGGACTAGCCTGAGGGACTCAGCCTTTTCCTGCATACTCTTGAGCAAAGCTAAGTATACCCAGGGAACAGTGAGACATTGGAGGGCATGAAAATAAGTGGAATAGAGGGTGTGTGGAGAGAGTTTTGAGAAATGTCTGCTTGATATTTTTACATATTTATGTTGAACTATTACATGTCCTAGTTATCTATTTAATATAAAAGGGGCCTTCTCAGGAAAAGAGTCAAAAGGAAGTGTGATTTTAGATTAGGGTTAAAAAAATAATAAAAAACCAACACTTTCCCAGCTTAACTAGTTTTTTTTCCTGGAAATAACTCTGTGAGCCCTGTAAATCCTAACCCTCAACAGTACTAAACAGATATCAACAATCATGATCAGGTGTGGGATATCCCACAGAAGCAGCTGCCCGTGCTTGAAAGGCCTTAAGGTATCTGGGGACATGGGTCCTTCCTGCCTTGTATAATTTTTCCACTGCCCTTTCATTAGTGTATTTTTAGTTAAGATGAGTAGAGGCCGTCATGCTCAGGTGTCCCCCGCAAAAGTATTTAGTATTAATCAACTTTTTCTTTATTCAAGGTTGAATTTTACAACTGTTTTCTTTTCATGAGTTTATTTTGGAGTATTGCAGTACTGTTTAGTATTTACTGGTGGTTTTACATCGGATGTTTGTAATACTCATAATTTTTTAAAGCAAAATTGGACCCTGCTTGTTCTTTTAAAATAATTGTTTACTCTAATAAATTAATACAGGAAACTTTCATTATCTGTATGGCTCAAAGGAAGGAGAATGCACCCTTTGGAATTTCAAGACACTTCTGAATTTTCACATAACCACTGTTGAGATAATTGGGTTTACCACTAATAAAACTACTTTGGTGGTGTCATCTATATGATTAGTAAAGAGACCCTTTGGTCACAGTTGGTTGTCTATTTAGGTTGTGAATTTGTGTGATGTGAACCCTGGTCTCATTCTCAGGTATGGCAACAACACTCGGAACTATGTCGTACGAGTTGGGGATTATCACACACTGGTTCCTGAGGAGTATGAGGAGGAAATTGGAGTCCAACAGATCATGCTGCACAAAGAATACAGGCCTGACAGCAACGACTATGACATTGCACTAGTGAGGTTGCAGGGACCAGAAGAACAGTGCGCCAGATTCAGCACCCATGTCTTACCCGCATGTTTGCCACTGAGGCGAGAGAGGCCACAGAAAACTGCCCCCAACTGTTACATCACTGGGTGGGGTGACACAGGTAAGAGTGATTTATATATTAATACACCCAAATTTTCCTCTGCCTCACCCACAATAAAGATGTGGACTATTTCTTAAACAATCAGTTGTTCAATTTGCTATTTCTAATATTCAAGGTGGAATAACTGTACCAGGTTCCGTCATTTTAAAATAGGATAAAAGCTTTTGTTTGTTTGTTCTCCCCATCCCACCCTCCATCATTATAGAGGAATAAAAGCACTAGTTTCTTTTAATTTAGTTTGTGCTTATAACCTTGTCTCTTCACTCTCCCAGACTGTAGGATTAATTACATAATTGGTACTGTTAAATCATCCACTCACTCCTACAGCCTCCCATCAAATGGGAGCCCACACATTCACACCCCTTTAAAAACACAATACCAGCTCTGCCATATTCAGTCTTATTAATGAGGACCAGAAATGCTTATACTGATTTATTTAAATGACACCAGGATGTCAAGTGAAAAATGGCCACAGCACGTGTGTAATGGAGAATCCAGCACACTTTCTTTCTCCTCTATTGCTGCCACTGCCATTTTCCAAATCCCAAATTTCAGCTGCTAGATTTGCGTGAAAGAAGATCTACTAAAGATGCAGGGGAGGCAAAACACATTTACAATCAGATTTTTGGATAACTAGCAGGTCCTGTTACTTTATTGAGTGTGGATAGGAGTTTCTTCTCCACAGGACTCTGTTCCTTTGTAAATTAATAACCATGTTTTACTTTTATGTTTTTATTTGGTTCATGACAGTGCAAAAAGAAGCCAACTTTTTATCCTTTAGTCTTCTGACTCACTAAAATTGGCAAGAAAATGTGGTTAAATATCAGTTCTCTCTTTTTTCATTCATTCATGTATGCACAGATATCTATGAGAACATACTGAAAATATGGAGAACTAAAAACTGGGAAGAAAGGTTTGCAGTACTGTATGTTTTGCCAAAAAAATACACCTCTTAGCGTTTTATTTAATTCACTGTATAAGAGCTCTGAAGTAGTACCACTTAGCTTAGAACTTCTATTTAAATGGAAATACTAGCTACTTCAAAACTTACTTTAAATGCAATAAATTACATCACTGCAACATTTACTGAGATTTTAAATGTTCTCTGTAATCAAGTTGTTATACAAGGATAATTAAGGATATTTTTTTAAAACAAAAAATGCTGCTGCTATCACTTTTTTTCAACTGAGAGAGAGAATCATGAGGTACGAGATGAGTTTTTATGATGTGTTACAGAAAAAATATTCTAACGACTTAAAATATGGAATCGTGCTTGGACCTCTACTTCTAAAGTGAAATAACCATTTGGGGTATTCCAAAAATTCTCTCACATATATATATATATATATTTACATAAAATAAATCTTTTGAAGTTAGTTGAATTTGAAGATTTGCCACTACTTAGTGCACCAAACATTCAAAAATGTTCAGTCTACACAACAATCTAGTTCCTTCTGAATGAACTTTACTAGAGACCAATATTTTGTTTTGACAAAATGAGACTGAAAATATGTTGAAACAACATTGAGATTTGAGACAGAACTTTTGTTTAACTAAGTGTAATGTTTATGAAAGGTGCTATACCAGGAGTTGGCAACCTTTGGCACGCGGCTCGCCAGGGTAAGCACGCTGGCGGGCCAGGCCAAGCACCCTGGCGGGCCAGGCCAGTTTGTTTACCTGCTGCGTCCGCAGGTTTGGCCGATTGCGGCTCCCACTGGCCACGGTTCACCGCTCCAGGCCAATGGGGGTAGTGGAAAGCCGCGGCCAGCACATCCCTCGGCCCGCGCTGCTTCCCGCAGCCCCCATTGGCCTGGAGCGGCGAACTGCGGCCAGTGGGAGCCGCAATCGACTGAACCTGCAGACGTGGCAGGTAAACAAACTGGCCCGGCCCACCAGGGTGCTTACCCTGGCGAGCCGCGTGCTAGAGGTTGCCGATACCTGTGTTAGACTGACAACTCTGGAGTCTATTTATGCAGTAGCAGTGCTAACGTCTCTACCTTGTCTCTCAATTCTAACCTTGAGGAATCATTTCTTGGGAGAACAAGGTAGAATGGTCTCATTGACTTTAATTTCTCAGGGAGACTATCACATAATGATGGTAATTTTTTGTAAGAGCAGATTTATAGTTAGCCAGCTGTTTACTAGGAACCAGACTGAAAGCATGAACTCATTTGATATATTAACACCTAGCAGCTTGCTAGATGGTAAAGACTTCTTATCATTACCAAATAAGGTGGCTTTGAACAGTGATCTAGAGATGAAAATCTCTTCTGCCAATAGCCCCATAGCCATTAAACCATCTAAGAATAGCTTCCCCACTACATTTAAGTATTACAGCTTATATTTTTGTAGAATCAATTACCTAAAATATAACAAAAAATCCTGTCTTGTGAAGTATCTGTGATACAAGTGCTGCTAAACCAAATGTCTTACTTACAATTTGCAGTCTATTGAGGGAGTTGAGGTATGCATCCTTTTCACTTTTACTTAATGTTGTAACATTGTATAGCAATATTTAAGCCACATTAATAAATTCAGTTAAATCATACCTGATTTGGTGATCATAAGTATCTCAATACCAGTTATTTGGCCTTTCTTTGCAGGAAAGGCCTATTCAAGAACATTACAACAAGCTGCCATCCCCCTACTTCCTAAGAGACTTTGTGAAGAGCGTTATAAGAGAAGGTTCACAGGGAGGATGCTCTGTGCTGGAAACCTCCAAGAACAGAAACATGTGGACAGTTGTCAGGGAGACAGTGGTGGACCACTCATGTGTGAACGTCCAGGGGAAAGCTGGGTTGTGTATGGGGTGACTTCCTGGGGTTATGGCTGTGGAATCAAAGACTCTCCAGGTGTCTACACTAAAGTGTCTTCCTTTGTACCCTGGATAAAAAGTGTGACCAAATTGTGATCATCCCGACTCAGAAACAGTAAGCATTAATAAAAGGAAGTTTCTGAGTCAGACGGGGCAGCTTGAACAGCACAGCCAATGCACAGCTGGGCCCACACTGGGTGGGAAATGGACACATTCTTCTGTTTTGCATGTTTTTATTTTTGTTGAATCAAGGATGCATATTCACACTATTTGTACAGTTACAGATTATTAATGTGCAGTTTCCTTCATGTTGAGCAAAAGTTTATATTTGCATGGGAAAATGCAATATACATAAGATTGGAGGGGAAAGGGGGCCAACATTTTACTCCAATATTGGATTGGGACAATTTGAGAGTTCAATATACTAGTTACGCCCCACGAGAAGACTGCACTGGCATTTATGCTTCAGATTCCTCCCAGAATTACTTATAATCCTCACTTCTAGAGTAACCTATTTAGTTCAATGGTTGCCCCACTTAGAACTCCTCTAATCTCAAGAAAGGCATTGTCCTTCTATTCTGTCTCATGTATGTTTCAGGTATAAGCACAGCACAGGCTTTGCATGCACAGGTCACATTTGTCCCTGGATCATTCTTGGTAACACAGTAGGTCTACACACTTCAGTAGAGCAGATTGATTGCAAGACCTGCCAATAATTAAAACCCAATTCTTCAGAACAAATGTCCACACAGGTTAGTGTCCCTCCCACTCTCCAAATAATGCACAATGTCCAAGTACAACTGGTCAGTGCAGTGGGGTAGAATAAAATTCCGTCAAATAACGTGCCCTGTACACCTACAGGTGCCAGATTAAAAAATAAAAGCAGGTGGGGGAGATAGGGGCATATTTGAATTTCAGAAACACAGAGTATCTTCATTTAAAGAAATGCCAAATAACAGGGCACATGCAATTTTTGGTGGGAATTACATTGTCCTATCCTGACATCCACTAACAACTATGGATGCACCAAAAGCACTGGCCTAAAGGAGACAGAATAAGCCAAAAATTTTCCTTGAATAAAAATGAAGGTTACTTACCTATAATAGTTCTTTGAGATGGGTCTGCATATTCACATTTAAAGGTACTCCACACTTATAGGTACTCACTGCATTGTGGTGCCTTACAGCAAACACCTCTTCCAACAGTGTAAGTTAGAGCAGTGTTTCCCAACTGGGAATGATCTGGGAATGATATGCCACCATGCTCAAACAGGTGTGCTGTGGAATTTTTTTGAAAAAGTACATGTGAGGACCTGGGGGAAAGCCACCTTCTAGTTGGCTGTCTCCCTCGCTGCCCTGCTTCCTCCAGGGACGGAGCAACCAATCAGAGCTCAATCTCCCTCTCCTGTGTGAGCAAGGGGTTGGCTTCTCTGTCCCTCCCCTTCCCTGCTGTAGCCACCACTTGGGGGGAAGAGCCCCTGGAGCTCAAGGGGTGCCCTGGCAAAGCAAATGTTGGGAACCACTGAGCCAGAGTGCTCTTGTATCCCCCACTCCTCCCCTCAGAATCACAACGCACTGAGAGCAAGGCTATAAGGGGGGTGGAATGCCCTCACCACCTCAGTTCCTTCCACTGCAAAGCAAGAGACAGAATAACAAGGACTCTGTCAGAGAAGGGAAGGTAGGAGGCATGAATACGCAGCCCCATCTTGAAGAATTCCAGAAACAAGTAACCTTCATTTCTTTGAGTGGTTCTGCATATTCTCACTTATGGGATAGACTGATAATCAGTGCTGAAACTAACCTGGGGGCAGGAACAGATTCCTAGTTGAATAGACTGAGGCACCACCTTGCCAAATCTGGCATCCAGACTAGAAGCCAAGTCCAGAGCATAGTGCTAGGTGAAAGTATACACCAGGTTGCAGCTTTGCAAATTTCAGCATCTGGCACCTGCCTAGGACAAAGGAGGTAGCCACAGTTGTAATGAAATGTAGTTGGATTGCAGCAGGTACGGGGACTTTTGCCAATGTGTAGAATTCAGCAGTACATTGTTTAATACACTGACAACTACCTTGTCCTCATGAAAAGAAGTAAAAAAGGTGAGTCGGCCACAAGGGCTTGCTCACATTAAATTTATGACATGAGAAAAAAATATGACTTTCTAAGATGTTTCTTTTCAAAATGCATGACTAAAAAATAATAAAATAGCCAGTTTTCATAGACCTGTACCCCCCAAAAAGCATTCATTTGCACCTATGTTTCCTCGGCTGATTCTCTACTATTCTCAAGACTATAGAAACCTATGTTTAAACACTATAAAAAGTATTTCACACTGAAAAAAAGCAACCCTTATTGATGTGGCAATACAAGTATTAATTACACAAAATTATTTATTAGTCCATAAGAAATAGTTACTACATTATAACATATTTCTACTAACCTTCCTTTGTTAATGGTCCCAAAATTATTCAAGATACACAAACATGAAACTTGTGCTATTTCTAGGATGCATTCTAAACTCTTATACACAAATATTTTCTTTGCTCATGACATCTTTGACAAACTATCACTTTTTAAAAGATGTAATGAAGCCTTTGTGGGCCAAGGAACATTCAAGTGTGTGAAATGTGGCAGTTCTGTGTCACCACATTGCCAATGTATGATTGTGCAATATTGTGACAAGTAACTACTATTTAATGGTATGTGTTTCCCTTCCCTACTGTGGAAATTCCAGTTGTGACAATGTGTTGTGGCCTTTTGTGCACAAAATGCAATGTTTGTACTAATGTATGATAGATGTGTAACTATGTGTTACACTCATGTCTGTATGTCCATATACACGTCCAGTTCTGTTACTGTTACCCAATTGCACACCTTAGTTAGCATGCAAAAGAGTTGTGGCAATATTGTAGACTCCCTATATGTGATTTAATTCTTATTCAGACTTGGCCCTCAATTTAATGGCAATGAATGTGTTTTAAAGGGCCATTCCCAATTTAAACATCTTGTTGGAATTGGTGCTATATTAGTATAATCAGATGCTTTTATACAGTATTTGTACAACTTTCTGTAATTTTGCACTATTTGGATAACATAAAACACTGTATGTTAGAAATGCAAATAAATATATTGGGTTCGACATCTGGAGAGCCTACTATTATGTGAAACTATCAGCTGATGCAATCTAAAAGTTAAGGTTTCATTGCTTATATACACACATCTTTTTTGTTTAAAATAACTAAAGTGAATCTGCTGAATGAAAGGGAAGAAAATTTAACAAAAAAATCTGTATCATAGAACCCGTGCATTGATTTGAGAATTTTGTAGTGACGTAGACTATACAGCGCAGTAAGCTAGGAAAGAAAGGTGCTAGGGGTGGGGATGTGGAACTGTCTGAATCACCAAGGATCAGATTTGGAAAATTTAAGAAAAGTCATCATGTAGCAGAGTAGTATCCATTTAGATTTCCTAGCAGGCCATTAGTTTTTTGTTTACTGGGCTCTTTTCATGAGAAGCTTGACTTCAGTAATTAACTAGATCAGCATTTCTGCACACCCCTGGAGTTCTGTGAGGGTACTGCAGGGGGTCCCTGGGCCCTGATCAACTTCTCTCCCTCCCTCCCAGCACCTCCTGCATGCTGAGCGCAGGAGGCAGTGGGAGGAGCACGGATGGCACGCACTCAGGAGAGGGAGGAGGAGGGGCAGGAGTGGGGCTTTCAGGAAAGGGGTGAAATAGGGGCAGGGCTTGGGGGTGAGCGTCAGGCTTGAGGGTCTGCAAACATTTTTTAAATCAAAATGGGGATCCTCGGGTTGCTAGTTTGAGAACTGCTGAACTAGATTTTAAAATGTTGCACTAAAACTTTTATTCAGACAACATGCCTTTTTTATTATCTAAAGTAAATGGAGTTATCTTATGTTTTAATATATATATATTTTTTGTCAGTGAACCTGTATAGTGTGAACTGGTATAATAAAAGCTGCCCCATTATTGGAACCCTTCTTCATAGGTAAAAGTCAACATATATTATCAGTGAATAATGTATGTACAAACTTTAATACAGGAAGTGTGTCACACTATATTTAATCAGTTAACAATGGTATGAATTTTAATAGTTGGAAAAGTGTACTTTGAAGAATTTTGTGAATCAGTTTTCTCCAAAGCTTTTCATTTCCTTTAGGGAATAATCACTGAGTGGAATTTTCTTCTGGAATCTAAAATACCAGCTAAACCAGTCTTGATATATTATTAGAAATTAAGAAACAATACAGACTTGAGATAAATACCTCTGCCAATGCAGGATTGCTAACTACAATATACTCTCCAATGTTTTGCACACTTTTGGTCTACCCATTTTTAACTCTGAGTTAAAAATATTAGAACCTTGTCTCTATGGCTATGAAATGGAGTAATAATGCATCACTAGCAATGGTGGAAGCCACAGACAAGACTTGGGGCATTTTATCACAGTGGATGAGATTAGTGACAAACCCCTGAGAGATATGTATCCTAGTTTCCATCATTGCTTTTGCTAGTGAGAATTACAGCTACAAAAGTTAGCTTACTTTGATGTACTCTAGTAAGCACCCTTTGAGTCAATATTTCCCACATTTCTGAAAGCTGACCCCTCCTCAACGAAAATGTAACCATTCACTCTCCCCTTCAACACCATCATGCACTGTTAAAGGCCAACAACTCAATTTATATATTTTCCACCCCAACCCCCTTGCGGGATGTGCCCCACATTTTGGGAAACATTGCTTCAGGTCAAGCTGCATGTAGTATTTGAACCCCCGCTTCCCTCCGCCACTAACACACACATCAGCTTCTCCAACCCCTCAATGCTTTTTATTATTCTATGCATTTTATCTAATTTGTCAACATCCTTTTAGATATCACCAATTAGACACAGGCTTCTAGATACAGTTTCAGCAGTTCTGTACAGAGAGGGACTATGAGCTTGCTGGTCCATGATAGAATCTCTCAATATAAAGTTTGTTTATTTTAAACACAACAGTGCTGTCATGAATTAAAACATTTTCCTTCTCAGTGATAAATGTGCAGAACCAGTGCTTGGAAAAACGTACGAGTGCTTGGAATACTTATACTCACCCATGGGCGAGGTTATTAGCGCTGTCACATTACAAAATAGCAGACATAAAATTCTCATTAATTATGTTGACATCCAAGTTAAAAAAAAAACATTTGATCAAGCTCTAGAGTTAGATTTAAATATTTGTAAGCCACTTGGAATCTTAAGACTAAATTTTCAGAGGGTATGAAAGCAGACGTTGGCTCTGAACAGCAGAATAACAGCCACTAAAATTGTTAAAATGAAGACAAAAATGGGTGATCAGAAACAAATGATTGTGAAGCCCAGAGCTTGCGGAGTATCAGAAAGCTGGGGTTCTCAATTGTGAAATTTACAAAACATTGAAACTCTGATATGTCACAAAACATTGGACAGTAAAAATTTAGTAATAGTACTTGAGCCAGGAGGGCTTTAAAAAATGGTCAAGGACTGACCACAATAAATTCCAGACAACAGGTCCATGCAGTTGAACGATTACATGTCTTAGTGTAACCAGTTGCTGGCTTAAGTGTCTTTTGGTATTAAAATTCCAAATGCAAATAGAGTTAGAAAGCAATGTATTTACTTCCCTAAATAGATCAACATTGTTCACAAATGCTAGAAAAAATTTACTTTATTTCCTGCTCCAATCTCTGCATGTTCTTCCCCCGAGCTCAATTATTTGCAACACCCCTCCCCCACATTCATAAACACTGACACACCTCACCAGATCTTTGATTCAGACCAGGCCTACTAACAATGGCATCCCATTGATTTGCTATTACCCTGTAGTTTATATTTGCACTGGACAGAACACCTCTGCACATTACCTTCACCTGTTAGTTTTTAAATAGAAGTGATTTATTATTTATAAACCCCTAAAGCTTGCCTTTATTGAGGTTCTTAAGATTTCTCAGCCTGCGCTACATCTTAATAGTGGTCACTGACAGCCCCTCTCAATAATCTTTACATTTGTACACCTATTTATCAGGTATTTCTACATGAGAAGTAGGAAAAGTGTTTAGGTATTTTTCCTTTGATGTGTTCTTCCTTAAATGCATCCCTGTAGTGCAGTTCTATTCCCTTCCAATGTTTTACTGCAGCTCTGCAAAAGCTGTCTCAGCCCCATTTCACTTCCTCCACACTCCTTGCTCATATTGCCTAGCTGTCAAGCCAGTCATCTGTCCTGCATGTTCTAGTCCTACTCAAGGATCTGTCCCCATAGCACTTTCCAAATTTCTCCCAGAGCAGCTGCAGTTGGTACTTGACAGATCATGGGCAAGGGCATCTTGCTTTCTCTCTTCTGTAGCAGCAACCCTAGTGAAGGAAGATTTCCTGGTTTCTTTGTTACAGCTGCTTGTTCAGGTGTTTTTTCACCCATAGAAGCAGCTAAAAATGAGAACCCACCACCCCATGAATTGCTGCTTCTCTGTAGATGGCCACTGATCCACCATCAGAGTTGAAGGAGTCAGTATTCTCAGTGATGATGTTTTCGCCTTATATTTGCTTTTTTTTTGTGTGTGTCTAATAAATTGATGTTATGCTATCAGACAAAAAGTGATCCTGACAGGTGTTCAACTCCCTTTCAATACACAACAGAGGTACACTTAGAACAAGTGGAAGATGGGCATATCCCACAAACTTAGTATAAAATTCTCTTAATTATGCATTCACATGGTTCCAGTTTACCAACACTTTGGTAAACTTTGTGTCCTGTAATCACTGGGGTGTTATTACAATTTGGAAGAAATACCCATGGGAAGTAGTGCATGCACTTCCCTCAGCACCCCCCCACCAAAAAGGTCCTTTTGTAGTGTTCTTTCACAGGAGTGGAGGCCTTGCCCCTTCCTGTCCCACAAAAAAGGCAGTAGTTTTGACCCTGGGAGTCCAATGTTGTCAGCTGCTACTGTTGCCACCACCACCTGGACTCTGCTTTAACAGGGAAAGGAGGAAATCTGACTAGCATGGAAGAGGCCACAAGTACACTCTCAGGCATTAGTCACTCTACATAGATCAGGGTGATTAGACAGCATCTGTAATGACCACGTACTTTACTCTTCCTACTAGAGGGAGCTTTGAGTGACTAAAGGATGACTATCCAAAGTAGTTATTAAAAATGAGGCATTCTACCCATTAACCATTTTAAATTTACCCGTTTGGGTGTACAGTCCCAGCTTCAAGCTAGATAAACCACATTTGTTTTAACACTATCATTTGTTCTGCTTAAGTACAATAGCTGTGCTTTAAGAACATTTATTCCCACATGGAAGAACAACTGCTTTTAAGGGATTTGCTTAGAATATTAATGTTGGAGATCATTCTATTTGACCTAGCATAGTTACATATTTTAAAACAGCCTGATTGTGAAAAACTGAGTGCAAAACTCATGATTATGAATCCAAACAAACTGCTCTTCTGCTAAATTTAAAATTAAAGTAGCAAATTAACAGTAACAGATACCAATGTTTAAAGCTTGTTTTCTTTACGAGGTGTTAGTGCATTGCTCAAACACAGGGATGAGGAGTAACTGAAGGACCACTAGCATTTATATGACAGATGTGCTACTTTATTGAGCATTCTTAAATGGACTTTGGCAAAGCTTTAAAAAAATATAAGTTTAATAACCAATAATTTGGTGTTTTCTAATTTTCAAAAGTAACTATTGGAAAACATTTCAGTACAGTTGTATCTGTTCAAACGAAAGCTTTCCCAACAGATAAGTGAAAAGCTTGGTTGAATGCAGATATTCAAAAGAATGCCTTTCAGTGAAAGGCACATTGTTTCCCTCCCTCACAAGACATATGCAAAACTCCCCTCCTGTTATGGAGATTTAAAAAGGGTAAATAGTAGTTCATTACATCTAAAGACTTAAAGCATTAATAATGACAAAACCTGTTTCCTGGGTATTTGGGGGGAGTGCAAGAGTCAGGGCAGAGGGCATGTGAGGGGGGGTGCAGGTGTCAGGGCAGGGGGGGTGGGTGTGTGTGGGGGTGCCAGAGTCAGGGCTGGGGTCATGGGGGGGGTGAAGGAGTCAAGCAGAGGGCTGGGTGTGTGTGAGGTGGTACAGGGCTCAGGGCAGGGGCCTGGGGGACGTGCAAGGCTGTGAGTCTCAGGGCAGAGGGTTGGGTGTGTGGGGGGGCTCAGGGCAGGGAGCTGGGTGTGTGGGGGGGCTCAGGGCAGAAGGCTAGGTGTGCGGGGGGGTCAGGGCTCAGGGTGCGTGAGGGGGGAGTCACGGCAGAGGGCTTCCCCCCCTCCTGCGGCCCCCAGCTGGTTCACCCACTCGTGGCCCTGCGGCGCACCGCATGAGCGCAACTAGTGCCCCCCGGTGAGAGTCCCCTCTGGCTGTGTCTGGAGGA